CTGAATATTCTCCTGCTGCTTTAATATTCTGATATATCAGTTCATCATTGATCCAACACATGCACTTTGTTCAGGTAAATCAGAAGATCCTGGGTCGCCTTCACCAAGTGCAAAGAATTACTCGACGTCTGAAGAAAGAAAGGAGGTATAAACTGTCATTATAATAACTGAAGATTTTGTGTGTTTTCTGAGAAGTTGCTCACTTTATGGCTCATCTGTGGGTTGTGTTAACTCTCACAGATTCCTCATGAAGACCTTAGATGCTCACGGGGATGACTACAGAAACGCTCAGCTCACTATACTGCTTGAGGTAAGGATTACCAAACATGGGTGGATATTAAAGACAATATAAGAGATGGAAATAGCTTCTGCGTATGAAAAGTGAAGCCAACGCATTAGTGCAGGGTTAGGGAACTCCAGGCCTCGAGAGCCGGTGTCCTGCAAGTTTTAGATGTGTCCTTGATCCAGCACAGCTGATTTAAATGGCTAAATTACCTCCTCAAAATATCCTGAAGGCTGTATCCCAATTCAGGGTCTGCAGCCTTAAAGTTCGCAGCCTTAACGGTCCACAAGGGCCACGTACTCAAAGACCGCTATGGCCGAAGTGACAGGCTTGTGAAATGGGACGGTCTAGCCTCCGTCGTGCTGCCCAGGTTGCCTAGCAACCATGACACTAACAGCTGGAAACGTTTCATACAGCATTATTTGACAGAAATGAAGGAGAAAAGGTTTTGTTCATTTGTTTGTTTGTTTCTACATGAGCTTTGATTTGATAAGTATCTGAGGCTGACTGTGAAATCATGATTATTGGGCTTCACTTCTGTACTGAACAGTCATTTAAGATTAGCTAGTAAATAACAATTAGCTCATGTTGTTCATGAGACTAAAGTCATCTCACTTTGGTAATGTAAATATAATATGGCCAATATTAAAGTTATAATTTCAATCATTATTAGTTATTACAGCAGTGAATGAACTCTGTTTCAAATACTGAGCTTCAGTA